TAGAGCAAAATGTTAGTTTTTGTTTGTAATTGAGGTGTTGTCCTTGGTTTGGCTCGGGGTGTAATTGAATAGTTGCATATAATTCATAGCTGACTCCCTTTCACGCACACGATATCATGGTTTCTTGTGATTTCTTTAAGTTATATATGTTCCTTTGTCTAATGTGGTTATAGAGGAACTCCAGTAACTTCATCGCTACAGAGGCTTAGTTTTTTGATTGAAGGAATATTCGTATCTATGCATCGTATGTAGTTGTAGTCGGTGATTTGGCTCAAGTAGAATTGAATAGTTCTAGAGCTCTAAGATAAAACGAAGTAAATAGTTGCAATGGTGACGCAGGAAACTTTTTTTTGTTGGAATAGAGACTTAGTTGATAAATATCTGTGCTTTGTTTGATTTGGTCGGAATAGTGTGAAATAAGTGCAAGGGATTTATACAGTCGACTCCCGCTTTGTTTATAATTGTGATGTAGTCATTATTAATATATTGAATATATGCTCTTTGTTGAGTTGTGCAGCTGGTGCACCAAGTGGTGAAAAATGCAGATCTTTGTGAAGACCCTGACGGGCAAGACCATTACCTTGGAGGTAGAGTCATCAGACACCATTGACAATGTTAAGGCTAAGATTCAAGACAAGGAAGGCATTCCACCAGACCAGCAGCGATTGATTTTCGCCGGTAAGCAGCTCGAGGATGGCCGAACGCTAGCTGACTACAACATCCAGAAGGAGTCCACCCTCCACCTTGTCCTCCGTCTCCGTGGTGGTGCCAAGAAGCGTAAGAAGAAGACTTACACCAAGCCTAAGAAGATCAAGCACAAGAAGAAGAAGGTTAAGCTCGCTGTCCTCCAGTTTTACAAGGTCGATGATTCTGGCAAGGTTCAGAGGCTCCGCAAGGAGTGCCCCAACGCTGAGTGTGGCGCTGGAACCTTCATGGCTAACCATTTTGACAGGCACTATTGTGGTAAATGTGGGCTTACCTATGTTTACCAGAAGGCTGGTGGTGATTAGACAAGTGTTAGTTTGGCTATTACTTTATCTTAGATTTTGCCCACATTTGTGTCCCTATACTCTCCTTTCAATGTTTTGTTTGTGACAAGATGGGATTATTTTGCAGCTTATAAAAAGCTATGGATTTTGTCAGCTAAAATATTTTCCACCTCTTGTTTTTGTGCTTCTATTTACTCGAATTTCTTCCGTTTCATCGATTTTGTTTGGGTCACACCCTTCTTGCAACAACAACAAAAAAAGATCTTAGTTGGATCGTCATTTGCTATCTTGAAACCTCTTTGCTTGATTTGCTTGGTTGGTTAACCAATCACAAAATGACAAGTTTTGTGTTGAATTAAATTGGTGAAAAATCTAAACCTAGAAAATCTCTCAAACATCACATTCCAATTATGACTTTTGAGTAGCAAAAGCTATCAAATACAATAATTCATATGCTAGTAATAGACACAATTTATTGCATCAAATACAATATTTAGTGACTAAAACATACAAAAACTATAAATCAATTCATCTATTATCTAATGTTTATTCAAATAACAACTACAATAACTACCACATAAATTACTACATCTTATCGAATTTCGCGTAACTAATTCTTAAATGACAAATCTTACGTAACTAATTCTTACATTATAAATCTTGCATCACTAATTCTTACATTACAAATCTTGCATTTATAAATGACGAGTAACCGAAAATATATCAAAAGAAGTATATTTAAATGAAGCTGAAGAAAGTATATTTGACCTTTTCTCATCCTATTGCTTTGCATTAAGTATAGTAACTGTCTTCTTCCATGCTATGAAAGAACAAATTTTTCTTATAGGCCAATTAAATTTTCCATTAATATCCACATTTATTGACAAAAATCACTTCTTTTCTAGACCCCTTTTGGATTCTTGAATCAAACATGAACCCCATTTTTGGATTTTTTGAAATGTATTGTTTTGTTTTGAGGTTATAAAGCACCTTACTTTATCATTGTTAAAATTGTGTGTTTTTATTAAAAGTTTTGTTTGATGGCGAAGAAGAAGCTGAGTGATAGCGTCGTTAAGGAATTGGCAGAGGAGGTGAAGGAATGGGGAAGCATGAAACAAACTGGTGTTAGTTTAAAACAGATGATGAATTTTGGGGGCTCTTCGAAAAATTTGTTGATATCTGCTCAATTTGTTCATAAAGAGTTGCCTATTCGAATTGCTCGTAGAGTTATTGAGCTTGAAAATCTTCCTTATGGATTGTCTACGCAGAATGCTGTTTTACAGGTTGGTTTACTCGTGGAATTTACATTGTGTTTGTTGGTTTCATCGAATTAAAATGTGTGAAAAATGATGAATTACTTGTAAATTTGTTGTATGTTGTTTATGTTGTTGGAAGATTCATTGTAGTAGTAGAAATGACGGTGTTGTTTAAGCCAACTTGATTCGCGTCTTTGTTGTTGGGATTTGAATCTTGATCTCCAATGGTTTTCACCCATGTTATTGACCGTTTGAGTCAGTGTGGTTAGAACGTTCTTATTGTTGCTTCTGTTAATATTTCGTTTGTTTTCACCTAATTCTGTTGTTTTTCTGGTGTTTGATCAATCAATATGCATCCCAAAATTGAGTTTGCTCTACGAATCATATGTATACTTTTAAAATTACCAACAAATGCGAGTTCCCATACATGTCGATGCAATTCTGTAACTTGGTGTTTGATGATCAGACTAAATTGGATAGATCCCTTCCTATTGTACATGAACTGTATACTGCTTTCTCTGTTTTAGGTTCGTGATTGGTATTTGGATTCTTTTCGTGACCTTCGATCCTATCCAGAAATAAAGGATAAAAACGATGAGTTGAAATTTACACAAATGGTTAAGATGATCAAGGTCAGGCACAATAACGTCGTTCCTATGATGGCTTTGGGAGTCAAACAACTCAAGAAAGAACGGCCTCAGTTCGATTATAAGGACTTGAAAGAAGTACACCAGTTTCTTGATCGATTTTACTTATCTAGGATTGGGATTCGTATGCTCATCGGTTAGCTCCTGGCTTAATTCTTCTAACATCGATCTTTATCTTGTATAAGTTGTTTCATTTCAACAAATGTGGTTTTACAGATAAGTTTTCGTTAAATGCAGGGCAGCACGTAGCCTTACATGATCCGAATCCACTTCCCAACTGTGTGGGATATATACATACAAAAATGTCTCCTCTGGAGGTTGCACGCGATGCCAGTGAGGATGCACGGAGTATGTGCTTACGTGAATATGGCAGTGCACCTGCAGTTAACATTTACGGAGATCCTAATTTGACATTCCCGTATGTTTTCTTCTTAAATCATGACCATATCATTCGTTATACAAAACGATGTTCTGTTAGGTCCTATATTTCTTTGTTTTATGTTTTTTTATCTGCAGTTATGTTCCATCTCATCTGCATATGATGGTATTTGAGTTGGTAAAGAACTCTGCTCGTGCTGTACAAGAACGATTCATGGATTCTCACGATGAGGCCCCTCCTATTCGTATAATAGTTGCTGGTGGTTTAGAGGATGTCACCATTAAGGCATGACCTCTTTTCGTTGCAGAAAGTTCCTTATCATTGCAGACTTGTTCCTCTTTATCTCGGAAACTTACTAAGTATGCTCGTTTTGATACAGATTTCTGATGAAGGAGGTGGAATACCAAGAAGTGGCCTTCCCAAAATCTTTACATATCTCTACAGTACAGCTGAGAATCCGCTGGACGAAGACTTCACATCTACTGGTGCAGCTACAGCCTGCACCATGGCTGGTTATGGATATGGAATTCCAATAAGTCGTTTATATGCTCGTTACTTTGGAGGAGATTTGCAGATTCTATCGATGGAAGGCTATGGTATGATACCTTATTCTTCGATATTATATCATCGTTGTCATGACAGTCCATAACAGTTTAGAAATCTGCATAATTGCATTGTGTATATGCAACTTAGCCTGAGATGCTTCATTCATTGAAACCACGAAAGGATGTTACATAAACAGTAGCGTAGCCACGTAGAGTGAAGGGTTGTGATCGTTTAGTTTTGAATGGTAACCACTCTATTGATCATATCTACATTCATCGAAGAGTTATATTTGCGTATATAAAAAACTATATCGTGTATACGTAGTTATTAAACTTTCAACATCCATAACGAAATCTCTAACTTCGTTGCAGGTACAGATGCATTCCTTCATCTATTGAGGTTGGGAGATTCACAAGAGCCCTTGCCTTAAATTCTAATGTACTTACAAAGGGAGAACTTTGAAAACTCATTTTGGGTACAAATAAATGATGTTAGTAGCAAAGCCTCTTTGTTCTATTAGGGCTCGGGGACGTTTGGTACAAAGATTAAGATTAACAGCATAGAGATTAGTAACGTACGGATTAGTAAAGTAGAGATTGGTAATGTAAGAATTAATTTTTATGAAGTGTTTAGTCTGTTGCTTTTCGTCTAATTTTATGTCTGGTTTAAAACTTTACAAAAACGATTATCGCAGAAAACTTTTTTGAGTCTGACAACTACAAACTCTACTCACGATCCATAGACTACTAGACTCGTAAAACCAACTTTCAAAAATTAAATTTTTGGGCTGATTCTTACGGACCGTAATTTAAATGAAGTCCTGAAACTTATTTTTAGGGTTGATTTCCACAAACCTAATCACATGTCGTAAATCCAACTACAGGCCGAAAATAAGGCTCGTAGAATGTGCTTTTTGAATTTTGACTTTTCACGAATACATTTACAAATATTCAACCAATCTACAATTCGTGCTTCAATTTAACTTTTAAATGTCCATTTTACCCATATTAAATAAATTTACGTCCACACAAATATTGAAGACTTATCTATCTTTCTTTCTTAATTCTCGACTCAAACACAAATTCAAATTTAATCAAACAAAGTATATATATATATATATATATATATATATATATATATATATATATATATATATATATATATAACACGTGGCATGCCACTATCCATAGAAAAAAAAAAGTCTACTTTCTTCTTCCACATTTCTCTCAATTCTTGATTTCTCTGTAAATTCACCAAAAATTCATCCATGGCGATTCTTCTTCCATCTTCAAAATCACCATAACCCATTTCTCCATTCATTATGGAGCTCTACTTAAGCGATTACACTCTCAATTTCCCCTCAAATACTAAAAAATCCCCACACTTACTCTTCTCCAAAACCCCAAATTACTTCCGCCGGCGCCGGCGCCGGAATCGGAGTTGTAAGACCCAGATATCCTCCTCCGCGAGGGTTTCAGCAGTGGTGGCGGCGCCGGAACAGTCCGGCGGGAAAATGGTAGTGGAGTTAGTGGGTGCTTTTAATGAGCTAACTGAAAGAATGGATACTAGTGTTCTTTCTACTAGCTCTTCTCGATTGCTGTTTAAAACTCTTAAATTGTGTATTCCGATTCTTCAGTCACTTCCACTTGCACCCGATGGCCGATCTCCGATATCGAAAGCTCTATCTGTTGCTGTCATTTTAGCTGATTTGCAGGTGAAAAGAATTTACTCGCACTCGATGTTTATAGCTCTGAACTTACTAATCTAGCTGACTTTGATGTTATTATTTGAATGTGACAGTAAATAGTCTGTAAAATTTATTCGTATTCGATGTTTATAGTGTTGGTTAAGTTAGATTACTATTGATATGTGACATTATAAGTTTAAAGTTAACTGAACTTTATCTATCAAGCTAATTTTTGATGTTACCATGTGTAAAGATCCGTTTTTTGCTAGCGGTTGACTATAGATTTTTGTAAGTTTATCTTGATATCTGTTTGGTAATGAAATAGTTTTTGGAACTTTCACTTACAAAGTTTTTGATTTTTTCCCAAGTAAAATGGATGTCCAAACAGAATTTTAAATTCAAAAAACCACAACTTGAAAAACTCGTCTTTTCAAGTTTCAACTTCGAAGGCCAAACGGGAGCGAATTATGTCGGAAAATAGTTTTGTTACTTACTAATTACTATTATAGAGGGTAAAGTTCAGTCATTTTTATGTGGCAAAATAGTTTTGAATACAATGGGTTAAATTTCGATGGACCAAGACTAGTTATTAGACAATTTAAGTGAAAAAGCCATTTTTGGCGGAGTATAAACTAGTAGAATTATTTTTATGAAGACGAGATGAAGGAGGAGGAAATAGAGTAAAGTAGATGGAAATTAGCTCCAAATGTTCTACCTTTACTTAATGTGTTGAACAAATAGATTTTTTATGATTTAACAATATATATACGGAAAGTACTCATATATTTGTATGTTTGCCTTATATTAGTTAATTTAGTGCTACAAGTCAATGTAAATGGTTAATGGTAATTTTATGGGGAGTAGTAAACGAATGAGAGAATACTTTTTTTTGCTAACAATCTAACATCCGTTTCAATGAGTTATGATGATCAAAATTATGAAAAAAGTACTACACATGTCAAACATTTTGTGGACTTGGTGTTTATGTAGCATTCTGTCCATTTTAAGACGTTCTACATTCTATTTCTCCACAGCATTGATGACTTTCAAGAATTTAATTTCATTAAACTATTCACACTTGAACTTTGATGTGATATTGTTGTTGTGTTGTTCCATCGTGACTAACATGCCTAGTTGATTGATTGATTGTTTTTTAGTGTAGCCAGAATTATGGTAATGTCAGTTGGAGTTGTTCCAATCTCTTGTAAATATTTTTGTTGGTTAAAAATATACATTTTTGGAGTGATGATCTGATCCAACAATAACGCGGTAGCATATATTTATAACCGAACATGGTTTTCTCGATAATTTTCTTCAGATGCACCACCTGCTGATTCAGAATCAAAAGCATGACTTTGTAACCCCATTCTTGGAAGCTTGCTACTGCGCCCTCTGTGTGTGTTGCGTGTGCATGCTCAATTTAAGTGAAAGCTAAAAGGTATTTGCCATTTGTTACAGATGGATGCTGAAGTTATATCCACTGGGCTACTAAGAGAAGTTCTAGAGACAGGTGCTATATCAATATATGATGTGAGGGATCGGATTGGTACCAGTACTGCTCATTTAATGCATGAAAGCTTGCGTGTGAAGCATATGGCCTTAAAGGTAGAAGTATTGGATGATGATAGCGCAACTGCATTGAGGAAATTTTGTCTGACCTACTATGATGTCAGGGCATTAGTATTAGACCTGGCTATCAAGCTCGATATGATGAGACACCTTGATTATTTACCTAGGTACCGGCAGCAGATGATAGCACTTGAGGTTATGAAACTACATGCTCCTCTAGCGCATGCCATCGGAACTAACCTATTATCTCTTGAACTCGAGGATCTTTCTTTTAGGTACTTGTTTCCTTACTCATATCTATATCTTGATGCATGGTTGAGAAGTCACGAGTCTGGAAATAAGCCTCTGATAGATATCTGCAAGGAGCAGCTGCTTCAGTCCCTCAAATCTGATCCACCATTAAATGAAATGGTGAGTAAGATATCTGTTGAGGGTCGTTATAAAAGTCGTTATAGCACCATGAAGAAACTCTTGAGAGATGGTCGGAAGCTTGAAGAGGTGAATGACATCTTAGGTCTACGAGTTGTATTGACTCCTATATCAGGAGTAGATGAGTCGGAAATCGGGGAAAAGGCTTGCTACAGAGCACGTGAAGTTGTCCAATCTTTGTGGGAAGAGATACCAAGTAGGTCAAAGGACTATATCTTAAGGCCTAAGGCTAATGGATATAGAAGTTTGCACATGGCTGTTGATACCAGTGAAAATGGACGGACTAGACCGCTAATGGAAATTCAAATACGAACAGAAGAAATGGATATGCTAGCATCTGGAGGGCCAGCATCTCATGCATTGTACAAGGGCGGTGTTACTGATCCTGAAGAGGTAAACATCGTATTAGATTCCATTTCGTAATGCCAACATATTTCAAACATAAACAACAACATACTTATCTGGGGAAGGGAGGATGTACACAAACCTTACCCCTGCACTTTCGTCTATACTTATGTTGTTTGTCGTCAAATCATACATAGGCGAGACATCTAAAGGCAATCATGATCGCTGCAGCAGAGCTTGCAGCATTGCGTCTTAGAGATTTTCCTTCGGCGAATCAAAAAGGTCTGGAAATTGACAAGAGAGGCAGGGTGTTCCGTCTTCTTGACAAGAATGGAGATGGTAAAATAAGCATCGACGAACTTATGGAAGTGATGGAAGAGCTCGGTGCCCCAGGAGATGATGCGCGGGAGATGATGCAACTTCTCGATTCAAACAGTGATGGTTTTCTGAGCTCAGATGAATTTGATATATTTCAGAATCAGGTACATGAACTAATATTAAATCATTTAAACTTTCAAATTACCTTGAACAGTTTTTTGCTCTTGGATGACATATAAAAAAGTTCCTACGTGAGTCATTCTCTAACACGTTCAACTTTTGACTATAATACTAATGTTGTTTCAGGTTGAATTCATCCGGAATATAGAAGACAGAGATGATCATTACCAAACACTGTTAAATGCTAAGCTGCAATTGGCAAACGACACCGGTTTGATTCAACTGTACAGTAAAGAGCAAGGTAGTCTGGTAACAAATTAAATTAGTAAATTCTGTTAAATCTGTGTTCTTTATGTATGTATTTATTGAAAAGGCCGTGGCGCTATACTGGGGATTATTGAAGCCTCAAAATAGATATCTTTCCAGGGAAAGATACTTGATCCCTCTGTATAATAGTTATCTGTGCACGGTCTCAATCAAATATAATGTATCTGTATGTTGTAACATGTATCATTTCTGTACAACTCTTGTACATAGTGTTTTTATGAATAGAATGTACACATTTGAGTGAATAAATATACTTGTAGTGTATCATTTGAATTGGAAAATTTGTCCCTGGTTGTATGGTCTCATTCTTCGGAATAGTATTTGGATCTCGAAACAATATTTCTGTGATGCTTATTTTATTTCCAACGACCAGAAAATTTGGTAATGCTTTCCTAATGAGATTAGATATTTCTAACTGTCATGTATATGTCTCATAGGTTGTCTAAATATTGAAGAAAAAGGTAAAACCCATCTATGGGGCTTTAGTTTAGTGGTAAGAGCACGTGATGTGAACACGCTACAAGTTAGAACCCTGTTGTCAGGGCGGACCTAATAAGAAGATGAACCCGCTTTGACGGAAAGTTAGAATGTTAATGCATGGTTGGAATTAACTTTTGTGTATATATAGTTGATGCTTAACCCCCTTTGACTTCTTTATGTGATCACTTCTTTATATTTGAACCCCGTTAATTAAAATTCTGGCTCCGCCACTGCCTATTGCTGCTGACGAAAAAACTGGTATTTAATAGGGGTAGAGGGAGCGGACCCATTATCCACCAAGATTCGAACCGTGTGTTACTGGCCCTCCGGAATTTCTTTAGGACTATTTCTCTTGAATACAACGAGAAAAAACCCAAATTTTGATAGGTTGCTCGTAGAAAGAAAAGCTTGCCGACCACATAATAATTCATAATAGTGTGTAGCAAAGAGTGAGGCAAGATAACACCAAGTATAAAGTAAAGACATGATGTCTATCTAAGTTAACTTTTTTTGCCCTTTATTGATAGTTCCATTGTGCCTTCTTTAGCAAAATTATGTGTACAAAATAACAGCTGCTTCAGAGTTAGCAGAGGGGGAAAACAAAAGAAACTTATATTTACTGCGGAATTTTCTTATCCAACACCAGTTATATGAACATTACAATAGACTTATATTTATAGTTGCATCTCATTTGCTGTCTTCTACTCTGTTACTCTCAGTTGTTGAGGTAATTCTTGCTTCTCCGACGATAAAGAATGGGCTTGCTAACTGGTATGATTTCCATCTTTCACAATTAGATTAGTCAGTAGTTCTTCACTTTGCTGGACTCCCAGTTCATCTGATAATTTATTACACAACTGTGAAATGAAAAATATATTGATTAGTGTCTTGAGGTTTGAGGATAAGAGCAGATCTAGGATCTCGAGTCTATGGATTCAATGATCGAGCTGAAAGCAATGAGTTTAGTTGAATCCATAGAACCTGTCCTGGATCCGTCTCTGATTGTTACTAATGTTGACGAGGGTGTAGATATATGTACCTGTCTATATACTGCAGAATCCCCGGAAGATTTCTGTAACTCTACAACATACAAGGATGTACTAATCTCGAAAACCTGAAAATTTTGTAAAAATGTTGGATTTTTGCTACTTTGGTGTTCATGAAAAAAAGAGGAGTTGAGTATCTTAAATGTTACTTACCTCTACTACTATTGAAAGACTTGCTTGTGTTTTTTGACCTTTGTTCTCTAGCAATACTTTTAACTACAACAAAACACATAAACAAGGTTTTACAACGATGACAACAACAACATATCCGGTATAGTCCCACAAGTAGGGAATGGGGAGGGTAGAGTGTACGTGGACCTTACCCCTACCGTGACAAGTAGAGAGGCTGTTTTTGATAGACCCTTGACTCACGAAAGCAAAGACACAACATTTATGAAGACACAAGAGACAACATATGAACATATATGTACTAACCTTTCCAGGTTTTTTCTGGACTTGAAATCCCATTTGAACAGCTAGATTCTCAATCCTATCTAGCAGTTCTTTTGGAGAGAGATTAGATGTGAACCTGATCTTCCTCTCAGAAACATCCTAGATGAATTCCAAGTAATTATGTCTAGGTATTTTATCGATCGATCATCGTATGATTCGAATAAATTAAGGTTAAGAGCTTACCTCATTTTCAAAAAATCCAGATAGATCAAGGCATGAGGACATTCCTATAAGTTGAAAGGCATTATTGATGACAGAAGGTGATTCTGGATTTCTTTCTATGTCAAGTGGCTGTCCAAGGATATAAAGAAAGATCAATTAGTCAAAAATCACGACACTGTTGAAGATATAATTAAGTAAATAAACATGTTATCATAGTGAAGTCCAAGGTTCAAATCTCACGGTCAGCCATATCAAAAAGAATTTTTACATGCTCGGCCATCAAAAAGCGTATGATCAACACATGATGGAGGTGTGAGATGATCTTCTTAAACGAGATGGTCACACAATTCAACAGACACGAGCATAATGAAATAACGAAGTAAATGAAATTGTATCCTCTCTACCATGTATTTAATAGTAGACACAAGTCTTGGGATTCAAATTCTCATGGTCATGCATTATCAAAAAGAATTTTAACGTACTCAGCCATCAAAACTGAGCATGTTGAAGATATAACTAGGTTTTTAGATGAGATAATCACACAGTTCGATAAACACGAGATAATGCAAGAGATGGACAAACTATGTAAAGATCAAAGATCATACTGCTTCATGTATTGTCAACACTTCATCATCTGAGGATGTATCATCACTTTCCACTTCTTCTTCATCAGGATTTGTAGGAGTATAGTTTTGTTTAAACCATTCATCTTCTTTAATCTCTGCCATTGTTATTCTAGTTTGTGGATTTGGATCAAGAATCCTCTTTATAAGATTCTTTGCTCCTTGTGATAACCACTTTGGTATTGGAGCATCCCCTTTAAAAATCTGATTCACAATCCCTAAAAACAATATTAAAAACTTCTCTACCAAAGACGACTCCATATAAAACACATAGCAACATGTATAGTAGCAGATCCAACAAATAACAATACAGAACTTAGCTAGCGTTTGTCCATAGATTTTGGACTTGCTTCAGAAAAATTTCAAGTTCAAAATATATGGCCAAATGGGAGTTGGTGTTTTAGGATATATCTCTCTATATGTGCGCGAAAAACAAGTCAAACGCATACATCATCAAACTCACAACGTCTAAATTCTGGATTTGCCACTACACGCGTGCACGCACTAGAGAAGAAAAAAGCTAACCTTTTGATAAAGCACTGCAAGATTTCTATCATCAAAGGGTAAAAAGCCAGTGAGGATGACATATAAAATGACACCACAAGACCAAGTATCTGATGTTGCACCATTATAGCCTCTGTTAGAAAGAACTTCAGGAGCAACATAGTTGGGACTACCACATGTTGTATGCAACAAGCCATCATCCTACAGATGAATAAGAAGAGCTAACTTAGCTTGACAGCAAAAAAAACATGTTTTTATGGTAAAGTAAATGAACAAGAGGGTCGCTCAACTAATAGTCAGAGGCGGATCAAAAGCTAGTCAACAAGTTATGATTTGTGAACAACAAGTGTATATATTACAACAAAGTATAACGAAGGTAAAATTAAGACATTTCGTATTAGTCCCTCTAAATATATAATTGATTACATTCATTCTAAAAGTGTTGACTCTAAACGCTAGATTCGCCTCAACTATTAGTAGTCACAAGTTATGTACCATACCCTAAGATGTTGAGGCAATGCACTTAGTCCAAAATCTGTTATCTTTATGTTTCTGCCTCCATCAATGAGAACATTCTCTAGCTGCATTTTGTGAAAACAAGTATTAATATATACAACATGAAGAAACTATAATTTTAAAAAAGAAATGTTACATTTTTTGTTCTATATTTACCTTGAGGTCCCTATGGAAGACACCTTTGTCATGGCAATAACTAACACCATCAATTAATTGTTGAAATAATTTTCTGCCTAGTGTTTCTGAAAGTTTACCTTTAGTAGCCTATCAATGAGGATCAATGAAGATTAGTTGATTTAATGCAAAAAAAAAAAAAAAACAAGCTAATGGCAAATTAAGAAAGATATAATACATAAATATGTATTTTAATTTGATCTCAACTGACATTTATGTCTTTCAACTTTCAGTATGCACAAGTAGACATTAAAACTTGTATGAAGCTGAACAAGTGGACACATGTATTCTACGTGGCATAATACACATAGGATGCAAATTGCCACGTAAGGCGCGTGTCTAATTGTTTATCTTTATACAAATTTAAGCATCTATTTGTGTATACTCAAAATTGAAGTGCATAAATAGCAAATCAGACGAAGTTAAATGTTACGTTAATGTATTATGTCATTAGAAAAATCTACTTACTATTCTGTCAAATAATTCACCACCATTTACATATTCCAACACCATATAAATCTTGGTTTTGCTCGCTAATACCTGTTTACACATGTCAAAGAAAAAAATATTTACACAATCATATCACTTGAAAACTACAATAAATTTGACTCGTATATTTACACAATCAGATCACTTAAAAACTATAGCAAATTTGACTTGTAATACTTATTTTTACATTGTCATTTTCTGAAACTTAAAAATTCCCACGCTCTACCAAAAAGAACGATACAATTCACAAATAGTCAATTTTCAATCCCGTGATAAAAGAAGTCATTATCATAACGTTTTACATGTGAAATTTGAAACTCTAGATAGATCATATTGCTACTAAAAAAAGTAAAAATGTAGTCAATGCCAAAATTAAATATAGCACCCCAAGTTGTTGGGCCTTTGATTATTGTGTGGCTAAATTTGTACCAAATGGTCTATTCTCATCTTAGAGATGAGAGTGGGACCTAATTACCCTTTTTTTTTTTAATAGACCTAATCACAAATAACCAATAAAGACTTTTATAGATAAAAAAAAATAGGATATTTACATAAAGTCAAAATGTGGATGATGATGGCTAGGGTATCCTCATCCATGTTTTTCTTCTCTCTAATCAACTAGACGAAGTGTCCGAGCCAGCTTATAGATAAAATTAATTAAATTTGACGAGAATTTTTGTCAAGATTGTAAATTTATTAATGATTTTTTCTAATTAAAAAATTAAGCTAAGTGAATTTCAGAATTTAATATTTTCTTCATTTTGAAATATACGATGTTGTATGTCGTATAAGAAAGAAAGAATTTTTTAAAAAATTTTGATTTAAAATAAGTCA